TTTTTAGCAGCTTTAGTGGGAGCCATCTAGTTCTCCATCTGCTATCTTCTTGTATGGACCACTACCTTCGAGGCTCTTTGCTGGAAATCCTTGCCGCTCCACTTGCTGCATGCTGGTGATAATTAACCACGCCCAAGTCAATAAATGGGTGGAGAGTCCCAAGAATGGGCCAAGATACGGCGAGGCAGAGTGAAGAGAGTAGCTCTGGTTGAAACAGCTCCAAAGAGACCAAGGATTAGTAACAGCAAGAAGAACAACAACCCAAGAACACTGCAACAGAGTCCTTTGCTATTAATATCGTGGATTTTTCAATTAAAATTGCATCTGGTAACCATGGTAATTGCTGAGTGCGGGAAAAAAATCACGAAAATAAGCAGCCGCGAATATATCCCGACCTACGGTATACAGTATACATACATGTATGTGTGTCTGAGTTAAAAAATAGATAAATGTACATAATGACTTTGCTTGTAATTTTGGAGGAATTTTGCCAAAGAATTCACTGCCAAATAATAATTATAATAATATTTTTATTATAATATAATGTTTGTACCTACACGTAGTCACGTACACATGTACATGTACACACGTAATTGTCGTAATTATTATTATTGTTATCTTGTTGTTGTTGTTGTTCAGGATCTTGATGGTAAGGTTGAGTACTGGATGTCAAAGTATGAAGAAGACTTGGAAATGAAGACAATTGAAGTACAAGAGACTAAATGAGCAAAAGCAGGAGGACTACAGAAACTGGATGAACTATCACAAACTGTAAATAAAACAAGATAAATAAGTAAAATAAACAAAATAATTTTGTAAATATTAGCATTTATTGTATTTGCGTCAATTCTACCCAATACTATATAAATGTAGCTTAATTTTGGAGGCATGTACTGTACATGTAGAATTTTAGATTTTAAGTTGATGAATTTGTTGCAAAATATACAAGTACATGTACATGTACCATTGAGCATGCACATAACGGTTCACATAATGTACATAAGGTAAATGTACATGTACATGTAGCTATAAAGATGCCAAAATTCCCCCCCCCCCAACTACAGTACATGTACATGCATGCGTACATGTACATGCATGCGTACATGTACATGTATACAGCAGTAATTGATTAATATTATTTTTCCATTAATTGTGTGTGTACAGTATAAGGAGAGGGAGGAGGTTGTGATTGAGCACAGAGCAATGAAGGAGAGACAAAGAATCAAAGAACAAGAGAAGAAAGAAAATACGACAGCAACCAAAGTAAAACAATAAATTAAGTGTATACATGCTTTCACCTGTACATGTACATGTGTTTTATTCTCTCTCCTTTCTCAATTTCTGTCATTTTGACACTCTCTATCAATACTATCATGTTTCTCTTTTACATAATTTTTCTCCCCTCCCTCCCTCTTTCTCTCTCTCCCTCCCCCCTCCCCCTCTCTCTTCCCTCCCTCCCCCCTCTCTCCCTGGCCCTGCCCTCCCTCCCTCCTTCCCTCCCCCTCCCTCCCTCCCTCCCTCTTTCCCCTTCTCTCCTCCACTCCCTCTCCCTCCCTCCCTCTTCCTTACAGATACAGGCCTGGTGGAGAGGTATGATGGTTAGGAAGGGACTGGGTCCATTTAAGAAAGGGAGTAAGAAGAAAGGAAAGAAAGGGAAGAAAGGAAAGTCAAAGAAAAAATAAAAACAACAACAACTATAACAATAATAATAATAATAATAATAATAATAATAATAATAATAATAATAATAATGTGTATAAAAGGTCTTTCTTATATTACATGTATTTTCAAATAATAATGCCCAGCTCACAGTCAGTACACCACTTTTATAGTAAAGAAGAGTTATATATACCTTGTGATATATTATAACATGCAGCAGGGAATGTAGCCCCTCCCTTGTAATTTCTTGCAAAATTTGCATCCTGTTTTAATATAGCTTGTTCTTTGATCAATGGCAACTAAAACCAGTTCTTGTTCCTCTTCTCTGGGTCTCTTCTCTTCTCCTTTGACTATTGGTAATGTTCATTAACTATTTATGTATCATAGTCATTGAATATGATTTTAGATCAACTTATTGATGTACTTAATCTGTTGAAGAGATGTGGTTTCCCTCAGAGGAGATGGAAGGAACTAGGACTGACACTAGGACTACTCATGGACTCTCTGGAGGCTATTATAGAAAACTACTCAAAAGTAGAAGATCGTTTCATTGAATGCATTGCCAGATGGTTGTCCAGAGCTGATAATGTTGACAGTAAAGGAGGAGCTACCTTTGACTCACTGTCAGATGCTCTTAAATCTATGAATGAGAATGGTGCAGCTGACAAGTTAGATCAAGAGAGTAAGTTAATATCACTGATTGTATTAGCATTGACTGTGTATGTGTGTGTATTCTATAGAACGTAAAGCTAAGGCTATTGATATATTCAACACTCATCATCCACTCCTCTGTCAGTCTCTCTCTGATCCTGTCAGTGTAGCTATTATGCTTCAAAGAGAGGGTGTCATAACAGGACAAGTATTGGCTAGTGTAGCTTCAGCTAGTCCCTCTGTTCCTAATCAACGTGAAGTCCTGTTAGCTGCCATTATAGTAGCTATTCAAAGCAAGTATAGTTTACTACAAACATTTGCTAGTGTGTTGTGCAAGTTCACTGGTA